TACTCGAGTGACTGAGTTGTGCCCGAATGACTTGCGTTTCTGTACTTTATAGGGTCAACAATGACCTCTCAGAAAACAAGACAGGTGTGGCTTGGCATTGGTTGAATGCAGAACAAAGGGCTAAAGGCCAAATTATTTCAAAACATATTATTCAAATTATCATGTAAACACAGCTATTTGTTAGCCTGTGCGCTACCAAATCAAACAAGTGCTTACATTTAGTTGATGACAGTTCGTTTGAACTATCACAAACCAATTTCGTTAAGCATTCTCTCCTTTAAAGCAAGTTTTTACACTGCTCAGAGATGTTCCAAAGCCTGATAAACCTTTCCAGGTCGATTCGGGTCGAAATACAACTACATAACTGTGATATTATATACAGTTTCCACACTTGGCCAATCAGATCACTCATTTTATAGTTAATCAGACACAAGCCCGTCAAAGTATAAATAGATTTCGTTTTACATATTTGTTATCACGAAACGTTTTCAAAGAATGGCCCGCCCAAAGCAAACTGCGTGTAAATCTACTGGTAGGAAAGCTCCACGTAAGCAGCTTGCCTCAAACTACTGCCCCTTTCTTGACAAAATTGTTTAGAAAACAGATCGGTGAATAACTGCAAGGTTTGGAATCTTACTAAACGTACAGCAGACTGCTTTCAAAAAGAGTATGAAATATTATCAGTTTGCAAAATGTTATGTCATGTCAGTTGTTAAAGGACCAAGACTGTGCCAGCAAAAAGGGCGGTTATCAGGGCTGCGGTTTTCCTTCGCGCATTCCCGCCGCTTTCTGCCCGCTTTTTCGCCTCCCTTCCATGAACTGATAGCTTAGCAGTTTTAAGGTTAGCATCAGTGAAATTAATTAATATATATTGTGTATCAGCATCCTTCCCGCTATCAGCGACAAGGGACGATTCAGAATCTAACCCGATGTTACCTTTCTACGCGCAAAAAAGCGTGAGCCACTCGTTCTTTTCAGCTCAGGCACGAGCGATTCTCGCTGAACTCCTCATAGATGACCGTATCAATCCTAGGATTAAAAAAGTCTGAAATTAATTATTGAAATTGTAGGAAAAAAAAAACCTTTATCTCCACGCGATTAAGTTATGCAAGAAGATAACAGTAAAAAACAAAATTGATGTTGGCGCGCCGCGCGGAATTTCGGAAGTGTGGCGCACGACAAAAAGCGCCTCACTTTTTATTCGCTGTTTTTTTTAATCGCGCCACGGACTTCACCTAAAAAGAAAGAATGCTCGTTGTCAATGTTTGTCCTGTAAGCTAAATTACAGTCTGCACACAGGGCTAGTGATCCTAAAATTAGTAATTTACTAATCATTGATGTTGCAGGTTCCAACTACTCAAATCTGTTTTAAATTTCATTCGTTCACACCGAAACAGTGATACAAGAATGAAAATAGGAAATATAGAAGGAATGATAAAATGCATTGTTGTTTTACGACTTTTAAAACTTTTTACGTTCGTTCGTTGGTCAGACTTTCATAACATTTGGTGGCTCCTAAAGGAGCCGTTTGTTTTGGCGGGAAACCCACAAAGTGAGTTTACTTGCTGCTAGTGTACTTGGTCACAGCCTTTGTTCCTTCACTGACGGCGTGTTTCGCCAGTTCGCCGGGCAGAAGCAACCTGATGGCTGTCTGGATCTCACGGGAGCTGATAGTCGATTTCTTGTTGTAGTGAGCTAGGCGGGAAGCTTCGGTAGCAATGCGCTCGAAGATGTCGTTGACGAACGAGTTCATGATGCCCATAGCTTTGCTGGAGATACCAGTGTCAGGGTGAACTTGCTTCAACACTTTGTAGATGTAGATAGCATAGCTTTCCCTTCTCTTTCCTCTCCTCTTCTTCTTTCCGTCAGCAGCAATTGCCTTTGCCTTTCCGGCTTTCTTCTCGCCTTTCTTTCCTGCAACTTTGGGAGCCATAATATCTGAAGAACAGTTGTAACTTCAATACCAGGCAACTTGATGCTTTTTCAATTTATAGTGAAAAGACGGAAGGATCAATTATCATACGGATCGAAATTTGCGATTGCTGATTGGGTATCAACCCAGAATGACCGCAGAGGTCAAACTTCTTTGTATTTCATTTCTTTTGTAAACAAACCAGAGACAACGGTTATTGAAATTCAATCGGTCAACAAAGATATGATTGGCGCTTTTCGATCCTTCGTGCATAAATAACTAACCATAAATATTGAAGTACATTCATTCTTTTACATTCTCGCATCGAGTGAACCTTTCGAAATATTCAAACATGTCTGGTCGCGGAAAAGGTAAAGCTAAGGGCACCAAGTCTAAAAGCCGCTCATCCCGAGCAGGGCTTCAATTCCCAGTTGGTCGAATCCACCGTCTTCTCCGCAAAGGAAATTACGCTGAGCGTGTTGGCGCTGGTGCACCAGTGTACTTGGCTGCTGTGCTCGAGTACTTGAGCGCTGAGATCCTCGAGTTGGCGGGCAACGCTGCTCGTGACAACAAGAAAACAAGAATCATCCCCCGTCACCTTCAGCTAGCTGTCCGTAATGACGAGGAGTTGAACAAACTGCTGGCTGGCGTCACCATTGCACAGGGAGGTGTTCTTCCCAACATCCAGGCTGTTCTTCTACCCAAGAAGGCCGAGAAGAAGCCGAAAGCCTAAACAAGCTTTCACTGCTTATAAAAAACGGCTCCTTTAGGAGCCACCACATACGATAAAAGTCTCGATCAACCGTTTGTTATTCCTTAAAAATTTGTCAAACTTGCTTTAATTAAAAAAAATACAAATAAAATTGCCATAAGAGATACCACTTCCCCAGTTAAATAAAAGTATCCTATTCAGTCACTACAGGAAGTTTGGTCGCTACTTGTTGCAGTCGGAAAATTTTTGTCAATTTTATGATTTCAAATTCGATCTGTACATTAGGTGCTCCTGTTCCACAAGGAATTGGCGGTCATACGCTCATTTAGACGGACAATGGTTCGCCGCCAAAATCCATGTGCTTTCAAATGAAATTGATTCATGGTCAACGAAGTGTTTCAGTGATTTTCAATTCTTTCGCCGAGATATTTTTCCCATAAAAAAACACCCACAATGCGCTATCCGGTTTTTCACCTGATCGATAAGAACGTTATAGAAATACCACCAAAATTGACTCACACATCACTGATGTAAGAACTGATGTAAGATTCCAGCGTGGAAGATTATCTACACTGCAACAAAAAGTAACTAATACATATATGTCGAAACTTTCCTCGTTTAATTTCCAATTCCAAGACTATAATGGGAATTTATCTGAACCGAAAGCCAGCAAAAGATCGTAGTCCATTAGCGCGCACAAATTTTTGCGCTCCGAAGAATACGTTACCTACATTGTGCCAAACAGTAACGAATACTAATGTGTGACTAATCAATACTCGATCATCCAAAGCTTAAAAAACAATATCTTAAAATATCTTGAGCTTGGTTATAGGATCTAAAGAGGGTACTAGACATTAAGAACCATTATAACTCACAAATAGCGTGCACTATTCGCTTCCAATGGCTTTCTATAATTTGCAAAACGAAACGAAATGAAAATCTTTAATCTGCGAAATGAAAATCTGTAATTTTCGAAAGAGAAATATGTTAATTACGAAACAAAATTCTGTAATTTGCAAAATAGAAATCTTATTTCGCAAATTACAGATTTTCATATCATTTCGTTCCGTTTACAGTTAGCCTTGAAATGGAACGGTACAAAAATTGCGTGTTTGTGACCGCAAGGTCCAGTACTAAAGGTCAATTAGTCTTGATTCTCTCTTGAAATTAAAATCATATAAAACAATATTTTGCAACGAATTTTCGCAGAAGGATGCTGATACGCTGTGTTTAATGCGGCTCCCGTCCTAGTGGGGTAGGTCAGTACATTTTATCAATGACGAAAACCATTTTATTGATTACGACTTTTCCAAGACTTGGTGGCTCCTAAAGGAGCCGTTTGTTTGTGTATCGAAGTGTCCGTCTAACCGCCAAAGCCGTACAGAGTGCGACCTTGTCTCTTCAGAGCGTACACCACATCCATGGCTGTCACAGTCTTTCTCTTGGCGTGCTCGGTGTATGTCACAGCATCACGGATCACATTCTCGAGGAAAACTTTGAGAACACCGCGAGTCTCTTCGTAGATCAGACCAGAGATACGCTTGACACCGCCACGACGAGCAAGTCGACGGATGGCTGGCTTAGTGATACCTTGGATGTTATCCCGAAGGATCTTT